CAACAGTAAGGTAATAAATGGAACCAGAAAGTGGTAGATGTTTCTGGGAACAGCGAGTACAAAAAGCAAGAGGGCTGGACCTCATTAGGTGTAAAACAGCTGTTGCATGTAGGGGTAAGTGTTGGTGGATGTGTATAAACTGGCACCTGGTAAGGGAACCACTCCAGTCATTAAGCTCTGTGCCAGAGACGGCCTCCCTACCCTCACCCGCCAAACTAATACAACCACTGCCCAAGACACTCATGCACCAGAATTATCAAACAGATGTACAGTATCACAGTCTCTGCTGGTTACAGGCAAGGATTTAACCAAAGGTTTTACCATCCCAAACTGCTGGGATGGTAAAAAAAAGTAAAAGGACAATTTAAAAAAGGCAAAACTATGTGTTATACAGCAATACAAAAATAAATAAAATATATTAACTTGTTAATATTTTAACATTTCGGAAAATCTGCCAAACTATTTTAATGTCTGTAACATCTGTACCAATCAGACACAATTATTCATTATATTTAATGTTTAATATTTAACTTGTTGAAAATTCAAATTCTTGTCTATATGAAGACAAAGGATAGTAAAGTTTCCCTCCAAAGGAACAATTCCTTATTGGCTCACTCACCTCCAGAGGGTGTGACATCTTCACACTTTAAAAGATCACTGATCACAGGGATTCTTAGAAATTCTGATGTGAAGGCGATGCTGAGCTAGAAGTCTTCTAAGGACCCTTAAGTTTGTGCCAGGCTGCGGCCTTGCCTTTCCATTCACCAAAATCCCTCTGATTCCAACTGGTCCTCCCTCATCAAGACAACATCAGCAAAGTTCAACTGGAGCCTCAACAAATTGAATCAGGACTGTTTTATATTAAAAAATGGGCGAGAGATGCAAGTATCAAACTTAGTCTTATTATTTGCTACTTTAAGTATATCCCTACCCCTTTAAAAGAAGGGTGTTAGAACTAAGAAACTGATGGTTTGCTCATGAGTGTTGATCTGCTCAATACTATAACTTCTTGCTTTCCTGTATTCTGCTTCAGCTCTCTTTCCCTTGCTAAACTGTATGCATGTGTATGTTAGATTAGTCCAAGTGTTTAGTTAAGTTAATAAAGTCTTGTTCGTGTCACATGTAAAGTTGTTTGTGGTTAATGCTCATATACTGTAGTCCCTAATCATGCAGATTTTGGCTACATGCCCTGAGTAGTACTGTACAGTAAGGAAACTGACTTTTCTTAGAATTAATAAATAATTAATACTGAGCATTCACTTGACAGGTTAAGTTGATTGTTTTAGTAATTCTGCGACATCAAGTTAATTATATTAACTGATTCAAATAATTATAACAAGTTGTAATTAATTATTCATACTTTTCTTGAGCTAATTTGCTGCAGGCATGCAGTAATATAAAAATAAAATTAAATACAATGTACATTAAAAAAAATGAAGGTTTAAATTTAAGGCAGAGAAAATGTTTGATTTTGTTTTTAAATCTTTGATCTTAAAAAACAATAGTCAAATTCCCTTGTGTTTTCCAGTTTTGTCATGACAGATCCACACATTATAAAGTGCAGCGCACAGAATAAAGACCTAACATAGCATACATAATTATACTCACTGCAAACTGACAATTATACTCCCAAATATCTACACAAGGTGACAAACCCATCTCTGTTATGAATTAGTTTCCACCAGCTGAAGACAAAACAACAGTGCATGCTGACGCTAATGCCGAATCGAATAAGTCAGTGGAGGTAACTGAAAGTGTTCATTACTTTACTGAGGTTTCAGTTACACAACTACATAGCACCCCCCACCCTAGAGAGAAATTACACACGGCCTCTGGAGATACACACAAACGTTCCTTTGCCCAAGGAATTCCATTTCACTACTGATCCCACACGTTGAGTAATTAAATCTAACTAATTAAAGAACACAGAGAAAAGGAAAAGAATTGACAGAGAGAGAGACAGCGTGCGCAAGCTTTTCCCTTCTCCGCATGGGGTGCTGGAAACCGGAGATGTTATCAGGGCGATTTGTGGGTGTTTAGAGTCTTTTAAATGAAGTCGTGAGCTGAGATCATCACAGCGTCAAGCCATGCATTAACCGCAGACTGCGCAGTGCTCATAAGAGATGGCAGCTTCAGCCCTGTGATACCACAAAATCAATCAGAGCTGTTTATTTTCAGTCAACACCACTCTGGATAACAGCCTGAGTTTCATTCGCAGGGAAAAAATAACTATGCAGAGGTTGCAGCAGACGTGTTCAGATTTTCGCTCTGATTGAATTTCAGTAATTTCAGAATTTTAGATTACACATGCTGTAATCCTCCACACTTCCCTCTAGAGATGAGTTGTCAGAAGACATGGATTGAGAGTTGAGCTGCAGGAAATAGCTGTGCATGTATTGGCTTAGACTACCAGTTCCATGATCACAAAGTGGATCTGTGAAATGAATCTGTAAAAACAACTGCAAAGGACTGAATCTTTTTAAAGTAAATAAACTTGGCGGCCACTTTGGCAATGAGCAACTTATCTGCCTATCAAATGCTGAAAAGACCAACATTTCTTCTTCACACTGGCTTTGGTGCCAAGTAGTAGCAAAAAATTCCTCTAATTGGAGACAATTTACTGACTATAGAAAAATTTGTTTGAGAAAAAGGTCATCTTAAGAATGTGATTCCTGTTTTCCTTTTTAAAGCTTAAAGGACAAGTTCGGTATTTTACACTTAAAGCCCTGTTTTAAGATCGTTTCTGATGAAATGGAACGGTTAAGATTGAAATTTGGACACATGCTGCTGTCCCGAGAATTTTCGTTTTTTTGTGGTTGCTGTGGTTCTGTGGTTAAAGTGCCACAGAGCTTAGGTTCTTTTACAGTGGCAATATATATATACACATACCACACTTAATTCACACACTTGCATGACACCCTGACATCCACACTGTATTTCCATCTGATGTGTCAGTGACTTATTTTTTCATTTTATTAGAATTTTTTATAAATATTCAAATGATGTGAAACGCTTCTTTCAGCAAGACCACCATTAAGGAAGAAAGTGGAATTATTAGATGCAACATTTGTAGACATAAAAAGTTATGTCATAATCAAAAGGCTCGTCTTCAAAGTGTTTATGAAAATCGTGCCTGCCCTGTTAAAATTTCCCTCTCTTTCTGAAGTTGCTGTGAGAAACTGGTAATGAAATTGCAAAGCGACTTGCTTGTAGGTTTTTATAGGGCTCTGCTTTGAAGTGCTCTACAAGGAATGAGACCTCCTTAACACAGTTTGGAGAGAGTGTGAAAAGGGGAAAAAGGAATGACTTTCAGTTGAAAATAACAATCTTGTTTCTCTAATGAGCCCATCTCTCCCTCTCTCTCTCTCTCTCCCCATCTCCAATCGTCTCAGTGGAAAACATTGGCCAATTAAACAAAGGAAAAGATGCACACTTGCTGGTTCATCTGACAAAAAACAAGCCCTTAAAAACAACAAAAGAGCAACAACAAAAAAGCCAAAACAGTGCAAAGCTGCAAACATACTGCATATTCAGCTCAGCGTTTTTCCTTATCTTCTCGCACTACTTCCTCGCCTATTTCCTGTTTTCTATCTCACGTCTCCCTTCGTTTTTGCACTACATTTGGTGTGACCTGATTTTCTCCTGCAGCTAACCAGATAACCTGAATAATTACCTCACAAAGAACTGAGTGAGAGTGTGTGTATGACTTGCTGCTGGTATTCATTTGGTGTGATGGTTACTAGACATGGCACAGCCGTCTTCGCTTCCTCTCAGGGCAACCCACAGGGGTTAAAGGTCATCTGAGGAACTAAAGTGATAAATAGACGGGGGTCCAGAATCTCACTCTTTCTCTAACGTTTTCCCTTAGTTGTTTTTAAACCTGTAAAAACAGGTTTTGACAACTGCAGTTTTCTGAGATGGAGTTATTTGAAGCCAAACCGCACACTGAAAGCGATAGCATTGTAATGCTACTGGCAATGCCAGCCACAGATTTATTATAAATTCATGCAAATTAATTAATTTGCAAATTAAGACACATTAAGAGACCATGAAAGTCAATTTTATGGTTCTGCCAATGAAGTCTGCCACTGGAACATGTCGAGACCCTAATTATGAAACCATACTGTTGTTTGTTGCTTTCTTACTGGTTCTAGTGTGTGTGTGTGTGTGTGTGTGTGTGTGTGTGTGTGTGTGAGAGAGAGAGTGTATGTACAAGTGGGTGATTATGAGTGAATATAAACAAAAGAGGGATGAAAAGTGTTTGTTCACTAAAACAGCTCCTTGAATCACAGGATGGTTGGTCCCATCATGGACTAGGTCACTACCAAGGGCGATTTAAATGTCATGTTTAATGACTAGTTGCCATCACACTGAGCAGAAAGATCACTCGGGGCATTAAGGAGGCAATAAACACAACCTGCAATGTTACCTAACTGGAGTTTGTTGGAGCGGCTACATTTAATAATCATCATATCTGGAGTCTAAAGAACGCCCTTCAGATATGATGTCATATTCATGCCTGGTTGAATATGGAGCTGGATTAGATGCCTATTAGTGTAAAACCCTGAGAGTTTGTCATCTAAACATAACAAAGGAAGCCAATTTAAATGATGTGATTCATAAGGCTTTTTGCTGCTGACACTGTTTAATCCAAGTAGAACGCTATCCATTAACATTTCCATTCACTATTGCAAAAGTATATGACTTGCATTCTGGCATCTTTGCTCTTGGGCACAGAGGGTTTTTTTTTTAAGCCAATCACCTGAGCCGTAAAAGTCATGTGGCTAATCACCCCAGAGCCACAGGACAACTAAATTACAGATACTGTCTGACTGGAGCACCACAAGAATGTACACAGACCCAAATCCTTCACTTAGCGACTAAGTTTGGGCCATGACATGAAGATGGGGAAAGATATAATAAAAAAAAAAAAAATTACATTCTTATACATACATATATATGATCCTGCATTGGTTTTAGAAAATGAGGACAGCACTCACCAGTTTCCACGTCCTGTGCATAGAAGTGCATTCCATCTGTGATCTCGGTGACATACACGGATCTGTATTTTGCCACACGTTCTTTCTCCTCCGTGAGCTGAGCTACCTCTTCTTTTGGTTTCTCTTCGTAATTGGCCCAGAGCTGTTGATAAATAGACATTTTCCACAGTTTAAAACAGGATCTAAAAATAACCAATGCACCACAGTCTTATAATTAACATGCTTTGCAACCCATTATACATTATGAAGTAAATGGGGTTAATTTTGATTTCATGTTCACTTAAACCTATTAACACCTCTGACTGAACCAGATCTGAGTGGTTTCATCTGTTGGCATCAGTGTGAATGCTACATTTGTTGATAATCCCTTCACATGATGGGTTGGTAACATATTTACCAACCCATGACAAGGTCACCATGACCTCTGCACTTCACCGATGACAGGCGGTATTGGCTAGATTTGAGCAACGCCGTAAGAACCAGAAGGCAGAGCATCATGAAGAAAGAGCAAGCTCATTAAGACTTGCGGTTGCAGATCACGAATTTGAGTGTGCGAATTTCAGCATAGTGCCAAAACGAAGGGCAAGAAGTTCTACTTTATCAATGCTTTATGAAGTGTCAAGAAAAGAGCCCCTGCGTGCAGTCAAAGCAGTTTGTTTTGCTTACTAAGCGCTGAGGGATGAGTCTTACGAAATACAAACATAACGAATTATCAGGCTCTTACGCGACTGCCCCTTACTTCAGTTTGGAGGCTTTATTAGCAAATGATGTTCATCAGCTATTGAAGTTACCCGTCATTCCATTATTTAAATTTTTTCTCCCAGAGAGCAGGAGGAAGCTAATTTCAAACCAGACTTTTTATATGTTCACAGTGCTGGTTTTAGCTAATTGTCCACTAGGACTGCAGGACCAACATTTACAGTCCAATTTCACCACCACCAGAAAAAAAAGTGAGCATTAAAAACCCAGCCACCAAATGATAAACTACAGGGTCAAACTACCCAATTACATCTGAGTATTTCCCTAGAGGTGTGGAACCAAGGAAACATGGAAGAAAATGATTCCCTGGGGAAAAACGATCAGGTTAAAGAAGATCTAAACATGCCACGCTCTGCAAACCACTCCACAGCAAGGGCGTTAGTGTAACCCCACTACCCACAATGCCCTGGCACAGTAACAAAGTTATAACCAAACCTGCAGGACCAATTGCAGTCACCCAGATTTGAGTGTCAACACTCGTTACTATGCCGACTGTCACAATGTCATTTCTGGCACCGCCGGTCAGTGCAGACTCTGCGCTTCCTGCGGCCATGTGACCTCTGACACTCGCCATAGAGGCAAGGGCACTTGAGACACGCGAGCAGGCGGACATATGCAAAAACCCACTCTCTCGCGTATCCTCCACTGCAAAAGCACAAAAGAAGCCACAAACACACACTGACTCAAAGAGACGCACTGCACCCTGGGCAAATGACCTTCTGTGAGCAACCAACCATTCTTGTTTGTTCCACATGAGTGCAGGTATATGACTGCTGCTGGGCGGGGTCATGAAGAGAAAGGATTTGTGATGTATTCTGTCATTGAGCTGCCTGTGGCCTAAATCCATAGCAATAAGCCACAAAAAACAAGTGTGACAGAGTGAGAGACTGAACGAATTAAACGACAGCTTTGTTGCAAGCTAACAACAGCCCTCAAAGGACAAAAAAACAAAACAAAAAAAAAACACATTAGAAGCAGAAACATGAGCGAAAACCTCTAACGGGCTAATGAGAGACTCAAAACTCTGATTGAATAAGCACTGTTTGAAAGGATGGTAAAATTGTGATAAATCACACATTAAATATGAATACAACAACAGCCTCTTCATTGTAGAGTTTTGCTAATGAAAGAATTTATTAAACCCTACCTGGAAACCACTATGAACCAATCTTTCCTTAACAGTTGTAGTCCACAATTTTCTCAGGCCAGATTTGCTCGTCAATCTTCTAAAGTTTGAGAGTTTAAACACAATTATAATACAGGTTTAGGGCATTACGTTGGTTGAAATAACAGAAATACATGCTTTTTAGTGGCTTATTGCTTTATTAGTAGTAGTATCAGCCGTTTTAAGCAGCAGTTTTTGCCAATAGTATGTTAGTGTGTCTTTCCCTGTTGTGTTGAGCACTCAAGGAGAGGTCAGACTTTTCTTCAGGGACTAAAGATACAGCAGTTACATTCATAAAAACTGCATCTCTCACACACTGAGTTCAGGGGAGGGGGCCGTTCCAAACGCTGATGAAAGGTGACAGCGTGTCAATTCCAATAGAGTGTGTTCCGCCCAGTGAGAGCGAATCCCCATCAACACCCAGAGCGCATACACGCGCATACACACACAAACACACAGGGCCAAAGGGAAAGAATCAAAGTATAGTCCAAGTTCATTCTGGAACACACTAAATTTACCTGCCAAATTAATCTGCATCCAAGAGATTTATATGCAACACTGCTGCACTGCAACTACAATACCCATAAGTCATTGCACCTGAGGCAGATAACCAGGCTGTCTTTTTCCTGCAAAACAAAGATAGTAGAAACTTGGGCAAATCCAGCTTTTTTAATAAGGCCTTTCATTTAGTCACAGCCATCTAATAATGCTTAAAAAAAGCCATGCATTTTATTATTAATCAAATTATACTTGGTTAAATCAATTAAGCATTCATTATATTCATAATGAAGGCACCTTTGGAAATAAAGGCTCATTAATTCAAGAGAAGGCTCTTTCTGAAACTTCTGTGTGAGACATAATGGCACGGCAGAGACATCCAACACACACACAGCATTCTTTCACAGTGTGCATAAATTGGATACTTGGAAACCCAAGATGCAAGCTCAATGGGGGCGGGCTATGGGGGGGGGCCATTGTCCGCATTGTGTGACAAAACATATCGAATTTAATAGGTTCACCGACCATTAGCAGTGTATATTTAAAATACAAATCTTTTATTTTCTTTCTATTACAGAACAAGTATAGGAATAAACAGATGGTTTATTAAACTGAGAATATTTGCATGCAATTTTGCTAGCAGTGCTTTTGTTCTTCAAAGTGAAATAATTGAAGAAAATACTTCAGTAAGTCTACCCAGCAGTCTGGAGACTCTTTGTTCCACTGCAATTCTTTGATTAAAAAAACACACAACAACACTTAAACTTGACAGAAGTTAACATTAAACATCTGAAACCTATTTTATTTCCAGGATATTCGAAATATTGATTTAATTTAAATAATGTGCACAACAATACATACGACAAATAAATGGTAAATGATAAAACAATAATACAAATTAAAACATTAAAGGGATAGTTCGGCCAAAAATGATATTTAACACATGCATTACTCACCCTCAAGCCGTTCGAGATGCATATGTCAATCTTGTTTCAGACGAACACATTTTCAGTTATTTTAGAAAATGTCTTAGACCCTTCAGTGGATATAATGTGAAGCAATGGGGTCCACCTCCTTCAAGTCCCAAAATGTGCATACATCCTTCACAAAAGTAATCCATCCGGCTCCAGGGGGATAAACGAAGGCCTTCTGAGGGTAATCCGTGCGGTTTTGTCGTAAAAATATACATATTTAAAACTTTATAAACGAAAATATCTGACTTCCGGCAACGATCGACGCGCGTTCACGGGTGAACTGAGTGTAGTTTTGTTTTGCTCTGCACTCTGGCTGCGCAGGCGCATTCGTTCTACGTCACGCCGGTTCCTACGCTACGTCATACCTCGTACGCCGACTTCCATCACCCGTGAACGCGCGTCGATCGTTGCCGGAAGTCAGATATTTTCATTTATAAAGTTTTAAATATGTATATTTTTACGACAAAACCGCACGGATTACCCTCAGAAGGCCTTCGTTTATCCACCTGGAGCCGGATGGATTACTTCTGTGAAGGATGTATGCACATTTTGGGACTTGAAGGAGGTGGACCCCATTGCTTCACATTATATCCACTGAAGGGTCTAAGACATTTTCTAAAATAACTGAAAATGTGTTCGTCTGAAACAAGATTGACATATGCATCTCGAACGGCTTGAGGGTGAGTAATGCATGTGTTAAATATCATTTTTGGCCGAACTATCCCTTTAAATAAAATAAAAGGCCTGGAGTTTGCTGTCCACCACACCTGGGAAATGCTAAATATCTACCAAGGTTAGGACAAGAAAAAGGCTGCAGATGGATTTCAGAAGATTGGTTAGGCTATAGGTTCAGAGTCTGATTAGGTCTGCCCTAAACGACAGCTGAACACATGGGTTATGCAGTGCTGGACTATACAGGCACCACAAAAAAAAAAAAAAAAAAAAAACGCGTTAATAGTAATCGGAGAGGTGGGATACATTATCAGGGTGTTTTAGCATAGTCAATTAAGGTCTACGACCCATGATGTCCGTCTGCTCGATTCGTCTGTGCATATTGATGAAGCTATTAGCAGTATGGAATGACTAACAAGACAGACATGCCTTTACATCCAATGACTTTTTACACAAGAATCAACAAAACCATCTGCGGATGGATATGCTGTCTATACGCATTACCAAACTGATGATTCAACCCCTGCAGAAATACATTATACAATACAAATGCAACAACCTGCATATAGATACAAGCACGACCAGATCAGAGAATAATCTGAGCAGAAAAAGTTGTCACAGTCGTTTTTGCATTCTTTATATCATCACTCATGATTTTGAGTGCATGTTTTGCAAAAGATATCTGAAACTGGGAAGCCTGAGCAGGGGTTAAATTAGGATTTCAGGTGTGGAGGAACCCTAAAATCTAGTGGTCATTTTGGTCACCTTATTGGTAACACATTACATTTATCTCCAATCCCCTAAAACTTGATATTATCTATGTTGAAACACTTGTTTGGAGTTCTACATATGCCATTAAAATACATTAAATCAAACAAAGAAAGTTAGAATTAGAATATAGTTAAAAATAATCGATAAAAGTAGCAAGACCGTGACGCAATGCAACCATAGTCTGTTCGCAACTAAACCGTGAAGCTGATTAGCATGCATGGCTATGTGCTCTCTTAGAGGGCTAAAAAAAAAAAAAAAAAAAAAAAAAAAATCTATGTAAAAAGATCCATGAATGACAACAGC